ATGGGAGAGTTTTCATTTGGCAAATGCTGAATGGAAGAAATTGAAACGTTCCTTGAAAACATTTCAGTTGTCAAAATTTTCAAGAGAAAATTATCAAAACACTTTGTTCCGATAAGGTTGAAGCATTTCCTTTGATAGGGTTGAAATATTTTGTTTGGATTTTATCATTGTGACTTTTATATTATACCCTACAATTTGAGTCAATAAAGTTTTAAAAAATGTTTCAAACTTATCAAAATAAAAAGGCATTTTGATTTTTCCAAAAGGAAACTTTGGAATTTTTATTTCACAGGAAACTTTGACATTTCCAACAAAATGGGAATTCTGTTTTCAGACAAGCTCTGTAAAATAGAATGAAGTCTGTTTATTATAAGAAGACGCCATTCTATTGTGAAAGGTAGATAGGTGTATCAGCTGTTTGGAACGATGTATACTAAAACACAGATAAGTGTCTGTGGTGCGCTGGGATAAAGTGAGGATAAAGCAGGAAAAAATTGTAGTGGGCCTCATGTCTCTGTACATACAAGTGTCTATATGATTATATAAACCCTTTGAGTCTTTTGGGGTTCTCCTTTTTACTGTTGTTTAGATATAGGATAAGTGACCCTCTTCCTTCGCATTTGACAGAACATTTGAAAACCTCAGAGTTATATCTGCAGAAATCAGAACTGAAATGCACGCTGCAGAGAGCAGGGAGGTTTTTGTATTGGTCTGTAGCACTGTGCGAGGGTAATTGCTATCCTGCTGGCAGTAATAATCTCCAGCGTCTTCAGCTTCTACGCTGCTGATTGTGAATGTGAAATCAGTGCCAGACCCACTGCCACTGAACCGAGCTGGGATCCCCGACTGGAGGTTGCTAGCCGCGTAGATAAGAATTTTGGGAGCTTGTCCAGGTTTCTGTTGGTACCAGTTTATTTTACTGCCAATGCTTGTACTGGCTTTGCAGTTGATAGAGACTTTCCCTTCCACTGGCACTGCCAGAGATTCTGGGGACTGAGTCATCACAGTTTGCCCAGAGGAGTCTGGATGAAGAGAGAAGATGGGTATGGAATGAACAGTGACACAATGCTGGATATGATGAGTATTCAAACACTGAAACAGTTTGAATTTGCCAGTGGCAGTTTAAACTAAAATACAACACATCAAATATTCAAATAATTCACATCAATTAAATCCAAGTGGCAACATTTTTTATGTTCAGTAATATGGATTATTAGGTTTTCAAATGCTTTATCTTTTAATTTCTTACCCTGAATCCAGAGAACCAACAGCCAGAGAAGGGGCGTGTGTGAGATCATCTTGCCAGACTGTGGTTTGAAAAGCTTGTTCGTAAACCTGGGATGGAAATTGAAACATTTATGTGTGCTCTGTGAGGAAACCTCCCCTTATGCAAAATGCATGTAAATTTACTGCACATTAGTTTTGTGAAATTTCCTGCTGCTTTTAGATGTTAGAATGAGGTTGTTTATTTCTAGGATTCAGGTGCTAATGTACTTAGAGCTCTCTGCAGATTTCACATGTACAATCTCCTGTGGCCACCTGACACAGCCCCCTGACAGGACTGGCCATGGCACAAGGGCTGGGTGGAGTGTGGCAGTAAGAGAGCAGGTCAACAGTGGGTTCTATGAGCCAGGTGCTTGTGCCTCCTCTCTGTGGTGGCTCCCTCACCTATTATATCAAAGCATCTGTTTAAAAAATGCTCTAAATTGTAGCAAGATGAGCGGAAACGGAGAAAGTGGGTCAGGTTTGAGGAGGAATTGTTTTTGGTAAGACCAGGGGTTTGAGAAACAAGCAGAGGCCAGGCTGCTAAGGGACAAACTCCAGAGCTGCCTCATGTGACATGTGTCTCTGTGTGTTTTTCAAAGTTCTCTTTCCCCTGGTTATGTCTGCCTGTTGCATCATTTATTGCTGGTGAACATCAATAGTAGGGGATCCTGCTTTGTGTTCAGAGACTTAGAGTTCACCTCACTTCACTGAATAATGCATGCTTTCTATGTGCCTCCCGTTCTCCTGCATACCCACTGATACCCAAAGATATTGTCGCAATAGAGTACAAAACTATTCTATTCAAGCAGAAGTCCTGTCTTTGGCCAGTGTGTACCTTCCCAACTGTTGTCCCGTGAGATGGTATATTCACTTCTGAAACTGCCACCTGGACAAAGAGAGCTCTGTTTTTCTCAGAATATTATTATTGTCCATTGGGTCTGAACGGGGGTGTGTGTCTGCTGCTGCTGTGCTGAATGTTTTCAGTTATAAGAAAATTCCTACGGCGCATGAGTTGATACAGAGGCTGGGATCTAGCTCTCTGATTTTTGCAGGCAATCGTCACTGATTGTTAAAAGGGAAAGTTATGCGCATGACACAACGATAGTCCCATCTAATCAGTAAGCGGTCAGAATTTTTGCTGGTAATTGTGAGTACTTTTTTG